GCCTCCGCCCGATGTCCCTCTTGCTGCTGCCACCTCTCCCTCCTCCCTCTTGTCCTTGGTCCACTCCTCCCTCAGCAGGCTCTCGGTGACCCTGCTCAGGCCGCGTGCTGGGCGCTGCAGAAGCTGGGTGAGCCAGGCGAGGCCACTGTCCCCAGAGGTAGCAGATGGTCCAGGGGAAGTAGCACAGGCTGCCTGGAGGAGGTGACAGGCTGATAGGAGGCTGATGGAAGCCTAGGGGCGGAACCTGGGGGAGAAGGGAGATGACGTTCCTGGGTGCACAGGTGCACATGCACATGGTGCTGAGGTGGTGGTGGATAGGAGTTTAGGCACCAGGGTGTGCATGATGGGAAGAATGGGGGAGTGGGACTGGATCTCTGCACCCCTCATGGGCTCCAACCTGGATATGACACATCTGCGTAGCTCGCTAATGAGCCCATGTATACAGCAGATACTCAGGCCATTACCTCTTCTATCCTTGTTCCTTCAGTCATACAACAAACGTATTTCAGCCCTGCTCTATGCCAACCCTGTCTTGGGCCTAGAGGTGATGCCAAGGTGAATAAGACATGGTACCAGCCCCTGTGAGGTCCCTGACTGGTGGGGAGACAGACCATCAGCAGACAATGAAATACAGGCATGTTTTCAACAAAAATTTATGGAGCACCTACTGTGTGCCAGGCATTGCCTGAGGCCGGGAGATACATTGTAGAAATCTCTTCTTTCTCTCCTGTAGCTGATATTTTAGTTGGGAGAGGCAGACACAAAAGCAAGAAGAAGAAAAAAAGAATTTCAGATAATCATAACTACTCTGGAAAAAATAAAACATGGTTATGTGAGAGTGATGGCAGGTAACTTTAGAGAGGTGATCAGGGAAGGCCTCTCTGAGGAGGTGACATTTCACTGAATGGCAAGAAGGGGCCTGCTATAGGTTGAATGTTGGTGTCCTCCCAAAATTCATATGTGGAAACCTAATTCTCAGTGTGAGGGTATATGGAGGTGGGGCCTTTGGGAAGCAACTAGGACATGAAAGGGATTCGTGCTTTTATAAGAGACCCCAGAGAGATCTCTGCCCCTTCTACAGGAGAACGCAGTGAAAAGAGGGCTGTCTGTGAACAAAATATTGGGCTCTCACCTGACACCAAATCTGCAGGCACCTTGACGCTGGACTTCCCAGCCTCCAGAACTGTGAGAATTAAATTTCTGTTGTTTAGAAGCCACACAGTTTATGGTGGTTTTTTTATGGCAGCCCAAAAAGACTAAGACAGAGCCCCGTAGTGACAGATCCAAGAGCAAGAAAGAAAATAAGGAAGAAATGATGTCTTTTATGACCTAACTGTGGAAGTCACAAAATCATTTCTGCCATGTCCTATTAGTTACACAGGTCCGCCCTATTCCATGTGGAAAGGGACTCTACAGGGTTGTGACAGCCAGGAGGCAAAAATCATGTGGTCATCTTGGATCCTGGTTGCCACGCTATCTCATAGGATTTGTGAGAATGAAATAAGTTAATATATATAAAGTGCTCAGAAGAGTTTTCTATACATAGCACACCCTATATAAGTGTTCGCTTATTATATTATTATTGTTGTCTCTGGTACATTGTAAGCACTCCACAAGGATTATCTATAATTACCATGAACATTACTGCTAGTAGCTGCAGAACCCCTTCTCTATACAGAGGGAGACACACAGGAACTGAGAGGGTGAAGGTGTCACAGGGTTTCAGAGCAGACTAGAGGCAGAGCAGGACAAACCCAGCCTTGATTTCCTGCCTGTTGGCCATGTGCTTGCTCTCAGGAGAGCTGGTGTCACATCTGCCCCCTTCACTGCCTGGGCAGGTCCCTTTCCCCGTCTGGGCCTGGGGTACCCATCCCTAACACAAGTGGTTGGACTAGGTCCATATTTTCCCCTGGAACTGCCATACTATGTTCTTATCGCCATTTCTACTCACCTCCTCGACTGCCATCCTACTATTTTTCTTTAAATCCTTTCACTTAATAAGCTTAGCTTTATCCTAAGCAATAACCTCCATGAAATCACATGTTTGATATGCTAATTATATTTTTCCAATGCACATTAAAGTAAATGTGTGCTTATGCAAATAAACAATGCTCCTTTGTCTATCCAGATGTGTCTCACTTCTCTCAGGGCCTCCAGCTCTGTGTCTCCCATTTAATCTGGGGGAAAGGATGGAGGGCAGGAGCCCTGGCCACTCTGCCCTTGATGACAGGTTCCTCAAGGTGACTTGGAGGCCACCAGGCCCTGGGTGCCCATTGACTGAGTCACAGGGCCTTCTAGGGGAGGTTCAGCAATTTTCCATATGCTTTTGTTTTGGTTTCATTTTTGTTTTATATTTTCTTATCAAAGTTTTAGTTCACATAGTTTAAAGAATCAAATAGTTCTGCAAGGCTGGTTATGTAAAACTTAAGTCATTCACTCCTCACCTCCATTTCCTTCTCCCCAGAGGCAAACATTTTCAACTCTTTGGGCTGATTCTTTTCGTATTTACCTCCTTATCATGAAATAACACATTTACTTCTATTTCTTAATCTTTTGGTTTTAGGCACTGTCTTTTGACTCCCACCATGAAGACAAAGATTTAGCTCTCTCACACACACCCCAGGGCCCCGAGCACATACACATACAGATACCCACACACTCAACTGTCTGTGAGTCAGCTCTGCCCATCCTTCCAGTGTGGTTGCAATTATGTGATTTTAAATGTCTTTTTATTTTTAACTGTGGTAAAATACACGTAACATAAAAATGACCGTCTTAATCATTTTTAAGTGTAAGCCCAGTGCCATTAAGTACATTCACATCACCCCCACCCATCTCCAGAACTCTTTTAATCTTGTGAAGCTGAAACTATGCCCATTACACAACAACTGCCCATTCCCCTTTACCCCAGCCCCTGGCAACCACATTCTACTTTCCGTCTGAATTTGACTACTCTAGGTACCTTACAGAAGTGGAATTATACAGTATTTACCATGTTATGATTGGCTATTTCATTTAGCATAATGTCCTCAGTGTTCATCCATATTGTAGCATATGTCAGAACTTCCTTCCTCATTAAGGATGAGTAATATTTCATTGTATGTATATTCCACCCTTTGTTTATCTATTCATCCATTGATGACACTTGGGATGCCTCCCTCTCTTGGCTACTGTGAATAGTGCTGCTGTGAACATGAATGTACAAAAATCTCTTCTAGTCCCTGCTTTCAGTTCTTTTGGGTATATATCCAGAAGTAGAATTGCTGGCTCAGATGGTAATTCTACTTCTAATTTTTTGAGAAACTACCATACTATCTTCCATACTAATTGCACCATTTTCCATTCCCACCATCAGTGCACTAGGGTTCCATTTTTTTCACATCCTTGCCAACACTTGTTACTTTCTGTTTTGTTTTGGTTTTGATAGAAACCAGATGGGTACGAGGTGGTATCTCATTGTAGTTTTGGCTTGCATTTCCTTGAGGAGTGATGTTGAGCATCATTTCATGTGCTTATTGGCCGTTGTATATCTTCTTAGGAAAAATGTCTGTTTCAGTCCTTCGCCCATTTTTTAATTGAGTTGTTTTGGGGTTTGTGGTTGTTGTTGAGTTGTAGGAATTCTTTATATATTCTGGACATTAACCCCTTATCATATATATGATTTGCAAATATTCTCTCCTGTTCTGTGGGTAGCCTATTCACTGTATTGATTGTGTTCTTCGATACACAGTTTTTATTTTCTGTAGTTCAATTTATTTTTATCTCTTGTTGTTTGTGCTTGTATGTTGGTGTCATATCTTGAAAGGGCTTTTATGTGATCAGAGCAAAATAAATGCTATTCACAGTGTGCTGTAATTAATATTTTTCCCTGTACAACTTTGTGTTTTTCCTGGACTTGATATTTTTCTTATATTTTTTGCTTAGTTTTCTATGTATTTATCCCTTATTTCCAAACTCCCTCATTTGTGTAAATCTCCTCTTAATACAATTACTCATATTAAGTATACTACTTATTCACTTGTCCAGAAGTCCCAGCAGATTTCTGACTGCTCCATCCTGGCCAGGTCAATGGCAAGGTCAGCTGCCCAGCTCTCATTGTTGGCTCTCCCTTCACCATCTCCTGGAAGTGTCTTCTTCTTTGTTGAATCTCTTACTGCCTAGATCCCATGTCTTCCCTCTATACTCACTACCTTATTTGGGGGAACATCTACTTGTAGCTTTCTAAAAGTTGATATTTTAGGTAAATTTTTAGAGACCTTGCATTTCTAAAAGTGCCTCACATTTCATTGATAGTTTGACTAGTTACAGAATTCTAAGTTGGAAATAATTTTCCCCCCTGAATTTTGAAGGCTTGCTCCATTGTCTTCTAGTTTCTGTTGAAAAGTCCAATGCCATTTTGTTTCCTAATCTTTTCTAGAAACCTTGTTCTTTCTCTTTGGAAGCTTTCAGGCCCCTATGTCCTGAGTGTGTCTGAGAGTAAATCTCTTTCCATTCATTGTGCTGGGCATGCAGTGGGCCCTCTCATTCTGGAAACAAATCTTCAGTTTGGAGAAAATTTTCTAGAAATACCTTTATAATGATTTCCTCACCTCCATTTCCCCCTTGTTTTTCCTTTCTGGATATCCTTAATAATTTTAATACTGGCCCTCCCGGACAGTTCTTCTACATTTCCTTCCCCACCCCACCTCACACTTCTTCTTGTTCTCCATTCTAGAAAATTTCTTCAACCCTCTCCAGTTTTCCTTTTTCTCTTATCATATTTCCAAGAACTCAATGCTTGTTTGCTGACTATTCCTTTTTTTCTCTTATCTTGCTTTTTTTTCATGGATGCAATATTTTCTCATTTCTCTGAGGACATTAATAATGTTTTGTCATTGTTTCTGTTAAAGTGTTTATCACCATTCATAGTCTCTGCTTCCTCCAAGTTCATTTTTTTCTGATGGTTGAAAAGACTAGCCACAAATCGGGAGACTCTATTACAGCACAAATAATGAACAAAGCATTACTACCCACAATATATAAAGAACTCTTACAAATCAATAAGACAACTCAATTAAAATTAGCAAAAGATATGAACAAGCATTTCACAGCAGAGGAAATATTAATGGAAAATAAACCTAAAGAAAAGGTGCCGAACCTTATAGTAATCAGGAAAATGCAAATTAATACCACATGAGATGTTTTGCAGAAAGGGAATCTGACAGTGACAAGTATTGGTGAGGATGTGAAGCAGCAAGAATCCTCCTGTGCTCCTAAAGCAGTGAAAATTGTTACAGCCACTTTGAAACTTGTGATTTCATTACTAAGTGGAAACCCTAGAGAAAGCCTTGCATAAAAGCACCAGGAGACCCATACAAGGATGTTCATAGTAGTGCCATTTATAATGGCAAAAACCTGGAAACCAAGCTAATGCCTTTAGCAGGAAAATGAATTAATAAATTATGCCCTCTCCATATACTGAAATCCTATACAGCAGTGGAAATGAATCAAATATAGCTGCAGCCAACTAAGAGAAGGAATCTTAAAAATATAATGCTGAGTGAGAAAAGCTTGCTGCAGGAGACTACATACAATATAATCCAACATTTATAAGGCTCAAAAACAAGCAAAATAATTAATATCGTTTAGTTTGTCCTACATATGTGATACAAGTTTGTTTTTTCTTATTGAGGAAATGATTCACACAAAATTTGAAATAGTGTGTAATATTCTAGGGGAGAGGGGGATGAGATAAAGAAGAAGCCCACAGTATTAGTCACACACTTATGATTAAATTGGGTTCAAAGGTGTCTGTTATTACGCTTCATATCCAGGGTGGCCATACATCTGGTGTTCCCAGGACAGTCCCTATTTATACCTATTGTCTGAACCTAATTATTTATTACAACCATTTCTTTCTCAGGAAAGTCCTGATTTGGATAATAAATGATATGACTTGTCTATTTAATTCTTATAAAAATGCAACATGCATCTCTTTTGTATGTATCTATTATTACATAATATATGTAATGTTTAATGCCAGGGCCATGGCCAAGTCACGGTCAAATAGGATGTTTGTGGTTTGGCCCTAGCATTCTTCTGAACCCGTCTGGATATCTGTTCTTGGGGCCTCAGTTGAACACCTCTGGCCATTCTGACCTCCCTATGCACTAGTCCTCACACCCTACTCTACCCTAGGTCCCACCCTATCCTCTTCTCCACCTGTCACTCTGTGTGGGGCCATCCTCCAGTGGTCCCTGAAATCTTGCCTCTAATCCAAGCCTGTGCATGTTCACTGATGTCCCTTCTATGCCAGATTTTGTGTTGGGGACCCTGTCTGGGCCCTGCCTTTGAGGAACTGTCAAGGGTCAGCTGGAGATGGAGACTGTGACAACCCAGAAGAGCAGGACAGTGACAGAGCCTGGGCTGTGGCAATGCCGGGGAGAGAACATAGCCCAACCCAAGGACCAAGGGAAGGCTGCCTGGAGCTGGGTGGGAAAAGTGGGGAAGAGTGCTCCAGGCAGAGAGAAGAGCATGTAGAGTCATGGGGTGGGGAGGAGCCAGCTGGGCTCAGGGAGGGCTGCTCACATGTTCAAGCTAAGCAGAGCACAGAGCACAGGGCAGCACAGAGGCAGGAAGCAAGATCACGAAGGGCACCTCTTGGGGGCCTTGAATGCCAAGCCTAGGATCTTGGGCTGTATCCTGAGGGCAGTGAGGAGGCACTAAAGAATTAAAGCAAGGCAAAGAGAACTGTGAAGTCAGGAAGAGTCGTATCAACTGAGGTTAAGGAGGAAACTGGGGAGAGACTGTCCAAGAGACAGAAGGAGACAAGGCAACAGAGAATTTTACTATTCTGCTTAGGCTTGGAAGCCCACTCCCCTGCCAGCCTCCCCTCCCCCATCCTGCACCCACCACCCACACACCTACACATACGCACAAAATCTGAATAGCTCTGTGGTCTTATGTGCTTCCTGGGTTTAGACTCCA